CAAGGTCTACAGCAACGCCACGGGCACCGGTGAGGGGCACCCATGGGTGCCGCGCGTGGGGTGGGGGGCGCTCACGGTGGGCGTTCGGGCTCCTGTGGGTGCTGGGGAGAAGGTAGGAGGTCGTGGTGGGTGGTGGGGCTTCCGTGGGTGCTGGGGAGAACATAGGAGGTCGTGGTGGGTGGTGGGGTTCCTGTGGGTGCTGGGGATGGGATGGGTGGTCATGGTGGGTTTTGGGGTTCCCATGGGTGCTGGGAATGCGATGGGTGGTCATGGTGGGTGGTGGGGCTTCCGTGGGTGCTGGGSAGAAGATAGAAGGTCACGGTGGGTTTTGGGGTTCTTATGGGTGCTAGGAATGGGGTGGGTGGTCATGGTGGGTTTTGGGGTTCCCGTGGGTGCTGGGGATAGGGTGGGTGGTCATGGTGGGTGTAGCGGTTCCTATGGGTGTTGGGGAGAAGATAGAAGGTTGTGGTGGGTGTTGGGGCTCCTATGGGTGCTGGGGAGAAGATAGGAGGTCATGGTGGGTGGTGGGGCTTCCGTGGGTGCTGGGGAGAAGATAGAAGGTCGTGGTGGGTGTTGGGGTTCCTGTGGGTGCTGGGGATGGAAAGGGTGGTCATGGTGGGTGTTGGGGCTCCTGTGGGTGCTGGGGAGAAGGTAGGAGGTCGTGGTGGGTGGTGGAGCTTCCATGGGTGTTGGGGAGAAGATAGGAGGTTGTGGTGGGTGGTGGGGTTCTTGTGGGTGCTGGGGATAGGATGGGTGGTCATGGTGGGTTTTGGGGTTCTCATGGGTGCTGGGAATGAGATGGGTGGTCATGGTGGGTGTATGGGGTTCCTATGGGGGCTAGGAATGGGGTGGGTGGTCATGGTGGGTATTGGGTCTCCCAAGGGTGTTGGGGTGAAGATAGAGGGTCTTGGTGGGTCCCGGGGATCCCTGGGGCTCCCAGGGCACCCTGGGGCACCCCAGGGTGTCCCGTGGCACCCGTGGGCGCCGGGCACCCACTTAAGGCGCCGCGGGCGCCCGCAGTGTCGGACCTGGCGCCGGGGCAGAGCGGCCTGGACGACATGAAGCTGCTGGAGCAGCGGGCGGAGCAGCTGGCGGCCGAGGCCCAGCGGGACCGGCCGGCGCCGCGGGCGCCCGCCCTGCGCTTCGTCAGGTGGGACAGCGTGGGTGCTGGTGCCTGCGGGCACCTCGCACCCATTGGGGTCATCTGGCACCCAACGGGGCCACCTGACATCCAATGGGCTCACTTGGTATCCAATGGGGTCACATGGGGGCACCCAACACCGTGGGCGCCCGCCCTGCGCTTCGTCAGGTGGGACAGCGTGGGTGCTGGTGCCTGCGGGCACCTCGCACCCATTGGGGTCATCTGGCACCCAGTGGGGTCACCTGGGTCACCTGACAGCCAATGGGGTCACTTGGGTCACCTGGTACCCAACGGGGGTCACCTGGGTCATCTGGCACCCAACATGATCACCT